GAAGGAGCCGGAGATAGTGTGTTTGGCTACTGGAGTCAATGAGGCACAGTTTAATTTTTTTAGCGATCATGCCGAAGCACGTTTTTCATTAAGCAGAAAGGAGTTTTGTTACAATCCTTATGGCCACGGTAATCCAAGGTTACCGAAGCCAGAAGCTACACAAGCAGAGCATAGCACGCAAGTGTGATTACACAATCATGAATTTTGCGACAAAGAAGAGCTACTCTGGGATCAAGTCGCCGCCATCAGGGTCCTTAGGTGCTTGTAGCCAGCCAAGCACCAGGCGTGTATCTCCTCCTGAATGACCACCTGCAGCCCAGAAATAGTTGTGCGACGGTAGAAACAAGGGACGCCGGAGACTACGTCTCAACAGCGTCCAACTCAGCCATGTCAAGGCCCATGGCCATTGGGTCGAAGTCGCTGTTAAAAAGGATCTGCAGTGCCTGCTGCTTGTTGGCCGACATGTTGCCCCCATGGAACGTGGCCTTGAACTTCCGCTCGATCTCTAGGTCTAGTGCGCTGGTATCCACATGCACCCCGAGCTTCTTAAGTAGCACAATCTGTGCTTGCCTGGTGGCGTTCGCCGCCCGCGGCTTTGTCGCAAGCCGGCCGCTGCGGCGCAGGGAGCCAACGGAGATCGGTGTCTTGCGGGACGACGAAGGCGTGGCTTCTTTGCAAAAATGAGGAGGGACTGCAAGGGGCGTAGATCATGTCCTCGAGCTCTTTTCGAACGGCGGCCGTCGAGCTCCGCCTCCACGCACGCAGCTCTGCTTGTTCAGTAGGGGACTAGTATCGACGATGGCGGTGTAGCGATCCCGGCTGGGCGACATGCCCGGATTTGTCTGCAAGGGTAGCCGGTGACGCGACGATCGCGCAGCGACGTCCTGCTTTCGATCGTCGGCATCATCCGCCCAAGCAAGGCAAGGAGCCCATCATACCCACGCGCTGACGCCTGGCCGCAATCGTCTGCGCCGGGGCGCCGGAATCTTCCGCCCAACGAAGGCAAGGAGCCCACCGGTACCCACGCTGAACGCCCGGGCTGCAATCGGTGACCAGCAATAAAACGACTCACCAACATGGGCTGGGCCAGACGCCTTGCAAAAGGGCTCGGCGAAGAGAACGACCCATGGCAAGCCATCACGAGAAGGCCTTGTCACAAATCCCGGCCTCAATCAGCATCGGATCCTCCTGTACCCCAAGGTGAATGGGGTTGTCCGCATCCCTGGCCTGGAAGTCAACTTCCCAAACCAATGACCGCGTGTCAGGGCTGCCAGCGCCCATAGGCGTGCCTGACATCTGAGCACCAACAGCAACAGTTGTAGACTTTTCTCGGTCTTGCTTCCGCGGCGACGCGACATCCGCTATCTCGCGCACCCGGGGACCAGCACCGAAGCGATGCGTCCCGCACCAGGACCATGCCCTGCCCCCGAGCCACGATTGGCCCTCATGCAGAAGCCCTTGCGGATGAGGGACCCACCCTGAACCACCTATGCATGCGCGTACGTCATCCGCAACTCCGGCGGCATGGCATCGCGGCCAGAACGCCGGACCGGAGCCACGCCCCAGCGACGGGCCGTCCCTCCCACCTGGGCGGAAGGTGGCCGGGCCAAACGGCCGAGTACGCGACGGGCCATCCTCCAGACTAGGGTGATATCCATTGTAATTACTGTTACCGCAGTCGTCGGAGTTGTCATCGCCCGGGAAGCCACCATCATCAGAGGAGCTTGAAGGGTCCCAATCCTGATATTCGACGACACGCATCCGAGCGAGGTAATGCAGGATGGGCAGCTCGGAGTGAATGATCTCGTGTTCCCGGAGAAACAGAATGCCCGGGTCATGCGGCTCCCGCGGTTCCGGGATGACAAGGAGCTTCTGCTCCGGCACCAAGAGCGGGTGAAGGCACCAGGCAGCGACGAATAGTTCACGCAGCGTCGTCGTCGTCAACCCGTCACAAGATCGGGCCGTGGCGATCTCGACTGGTGCGGAAGACCCAAGGAGGTGCGCAGCCACATCCTCGGCCGAGGGCATGGGCAAGAACGCCTTAATCCCAACCAGGACCTTGTAGGTGAATGCACCGCCATCGCCGGCGAAAGGCGAGACCAGCGCGTCGCCAGAGCAACACGAACGGCGGTTGCCACCGGTGGTGCCCTGGAGTTGAGGACGCGCCGAGGTCATCCCGATGCGGAAACGAACGATGAAGTCCTCTCGGCGTGCCGCAGAACCGACATCACGTCATCCTCGATGTTGAACTGGTCACGAAGGTGCTCGTGCACCATAGCGGGGGTCACCGGCGGCTTGGTACCGCCAACCAAGGCCACCAGAGCGAGCGACAAGGCGTCCTCCGCGGCTTGAATCTCCGCAGTGCGCGGGACGATGACCAACTCAACCGCCGGGCGTTGAACAGTTGGCTGAAAGCGCCGCGGCTTGCCACGCCGAGCTGCAGACGCGGTCGCGACGACCGGCCCCCATCCGGCGGCGCTGAGCTGCGGCATACGCTGCGGCGCTCGATGTGGTCGAGCCGAGGCCCCGAAGCCACCGCGGCGGGCGTCGGTGCAACGGTAGCATCAGCGAGAGGCCGGCCGATCCACGGCTATAGGGCTGGGGCGCTAAACAACGTGGTACCGACGGCGAAGCGGCCAGCGGACACTGAGCGGGCCGAGACCGTGTCATCTCGGCGGCCTCGGCCTTTCGAGGAACGCGCGCCTGGCGGGGGCACGACGAGCAAAATGCCTGGCGAGCGGCCTCGCTTGTCCCTGGTGACAAAGGTGGCCATCGGGCAGAAGCGCGCACGATGGCCCTCTTGGCGACAGGTACGACAGCGCGGAGGGAAACGACAGTTCGTCCGAATGTGGTCATCACGTAGGCAGTTGAAGCAAAGGCCAACCAGATCCGGCGGAACTGGCCTTGCAAGGGTAGGCGATGGCCTGCGGCGGCTGTGAACCTCACGGAAGCCGTCGTCGTCCGGCTCAGCCGAAAGCTTGGCAGGGTGGACCGCGACCGAGCGTAGCCTGGCCATGGGCGGAGGAGAGGCCGTGGCAGCCTGGTGAGCGGAGGCATCCTGCGCAGCGTGGCGTCGATGACGACGCCGTGGTCGCTTGCGACGCTCCCGGATCTCCCCAACCTCAGTGACGTTGGCCGGCGAGGGGGCCGCAGAACCAAGAGAGGCCTCGGAGTCGGAGAAGCAGTCTCTCCCCCCCGACTGAACCACGAAACAGCCGGCGACGAACCCGGGACGAAAGGCTCAGCATTGGCGTTGAGGGGTGGCGACGAAGAGTGAGGCAGCGAGTTAGCCTCCTCGACCTCATCGGCCCAGGAACGGCGAGAGGGAGAACCGAACTCCATGGCAGCTGGGGTGGACGCTGGCACCGGAGTGGCAACCGGCGTGGGGCTGGGGAGTGGTTGGTGGCTGGCGGCGGCAGGGTTGGCCGCCGGCGGTGGGAGACTTGGGGTAGGAATACGCCCCGCTTGCTGGCTTCCTCATGCCGTTTGGAACATACTGATGGAACGCAGAGGGCGGAGCTCCCGATCCGACATCCGCCGGGGCCGGGGCGGCGGTGGCGATCCTCTCCTCCTGCCCCTGCCGGCTGCCGGTGCCGGGCACGGAAGGGTGGAAGCAGGAGGACGCAGCGAGCACGGAAGGAGCTGCAAATGGGATGCAGCTATGTGCTGAAGCAGCAGCCTAAGAGCTTATGCCTTCTTCTGGAGCAGGACAACCTTCTCGACTATTTTGGGCCATGATATAGTCTGAATCTCAAGATCATTGACCTTAAGTCCTGTTCGTTGCAAGCGGTGACGAGGACGGAGCCGGTGCTGTCTCCGACGAGGCACTCGGCGACGCGGGTGCGGCCGAGGTGTGTGGAGGCCTTGTCGAGGACGGTGCGGGCGGAGATGACGCGGGCGGTGAGGGTGTGGTCGTGCGTCCAGGCACAGTTTAGTGGATGTGGACAAACAGAGAGAGGGGGTTAGAGCGAAAGCCTTACTAGCGGTGGACTCAAAACCAAAAAAGAAACATCTACACAGGGAAGGTGATCTCTGCTTCTGCCAAAGATGATACACAAGAGCGATAATAAAGCTAATTGTAACTGTTAATTCCCATGTCATATATAAGTGATTACCTGTACCCTCTTCAGATAGCATCAGATATTTGTTGCATTGTTCATTGCTTTCTTTCGGCAGAACCTTCGGCATTCGACGACTTAACTCGATGACCGAAGAGAATAATCTTTGTGTGGCATACCCAGTACGTATCGATGCAACATCTTTTCATACGATTCTTAACATGTTCCACATTGCTGTCCCTACTACTCATCACGATGCGTGCTGTCGTCGACAAGCACTTAGCCAGTTAGCCATGCAAAATTGCAAATAGGGTCCGTACGTGAGACCTTGCGTCCTAGCGCCAGGAAGGTCCCCGGCCAGCTAACTCGCACAAGGCTTGACCTGACGGCTCTGATCCATCTCCTCGTGGGGCAGCCCGTATGTAGGCAGGCTCTACGTGCGCCCTGCATTTTCCGGAAAAAGGCACACGGGGGAAAGCTGAAGGAAGTAGGGCGGAGGAGAGAGAGGCCGATCGAGCAGCTTCGATCTCCTTTTGCCGGAAGTGGAATATTAAACAAGGAACAAGTAGCTAAGCCAGCACTGCGTGCAAGTGCAACAGACACAGCCGGGTGCCGGTGACTCGGATCCATCAATGGCTGCACTTGGCATCTCGGCTGATCCAACATCCAACTACGATAGCTACGCCTGCTGCTGTACCTACGTACACTGTGCCCACAGTGGCAAACTACGGCACAGTGCGACGAGGGCCGCGGCTATATAAATGATTCGGTGAGCTCGGCTGCCTCCTCACTGCCATAGCTGAGGACCTCTCGAGGTAGTAGCCATTAGCCGCCTGCAGGTAGAAGTGCGAGTGAGGAGGAAGAAGGCTTGTTGGAGTTTAGCTGAGGATCGCGAGGAACTTTGAGAGAGACTGCTGCTGATATATAGATCGAGCAGATAGAATGGGTGTGGGAAATGTTCTGAACGATGTGAAGCCGTACCTGGCCATGATCCTGCTGCAGGTAGGGTTCGCCGGGATGTACATCGTCGCCGTGGCCTCGCTCAAGCGCGGGATGAGCCACTTCGTCCTCGTCGTATACCGTAATCTCTTCGCCACCGCCGTCATGGCGCCCTTCGCGCTCTGGTTCGAGAGGTAAGGATGATATTCATGTCGCTCAATCTCTCTCTCTCTCGCGCGCGCGCACACACACGCTCCCTCTCGCGCACGCTCCGTACGTATCATGCGTGTGCTCCGTCCTTGCCTCGCTAGCTAGTTTCAACACTTGGTACGTACGTCGTGCCGGACGTGATTCATATATAGGCACACATGCTGATATACTGCATGCATGCACAAGCATGATCATCGACGTTCCATATGGTAGAACTGATGAAGCTATAATATATGCCGATGCATGCCATGCAAGTGCACCAGGAGGAAATAAATTAAAATTTTGTGGCATTCATGCACTTGCATTCAGTATGTTCATCCATTACAAGAGATGCCCAATCTGCCATCAGTCACTGATCGAATCTAGCTAAGAGCTAGCCTAATTAAGAGTATACTTTGATCAGTTCATCCATTATGTGGAATCCATGCACTTGCATTCAGTATGTTCATACGTTACAGGAGATGCCAAATTGCCATCTGTCACTCATCGAATCTACCTAAGACTCTAAGAGTACTGTATAACTTGGTTGGTCAGTGTTCATCCATTCTGTCTGCAAAGCCGCGACGTAGCATTATTTTCAGTAGTCGCTTTCAGATGGTGCAGGCTCCACGACCAGCACTTGCAGATCCTAATCTGGAAAAGTAGCATGTCTATTCTATTTCGTACCTCCATCTTGAGCAAAAAAAAAAAAAAAAAAAAAAGTGTAGTGTTCAGCTGCTTTCGTTGTCATCATCTGTTAGTTGTTAAATCAAAATGCATGCTTACTCCACAGAATGTAAATTCTCCACTATATATTTTCGTAAAAGCCCCTGATTGCATTGGGCACTGGTGGAGGTCACTTCACCATCACCCACATGTTAGACTATCTCCAACGATACTGACCCAAATAGGAGACTCATTGGCTAGAATGCGTCGCGCCGTGGAAAAAGGTCACGTACCTATTTTCGTTGTTTTCCAACAGAAACGCAAAAAGAAGATGCACCGACAGCTTCCTCTCACTCTCAAAAGCAGCAGGCATGCCGTGGTCCCCACGGGTCTGGTCTCCTTTCGCTCAAAGAATGAATGGACAAGAGCAAATGGAGCGTACGAGCGGCGCCCAGATGCATGCAAGCACGGGCCCCACACGCACTATCCTTCTCACACGAACTGCATAGCACCAACAATCGGTCAACAGCGCGTGACCCATTGGCCGGAGCACGCGACGTATATTTGGGCTGCGCCTCGCCTCGCACGCATTTTGCGTCCTCGTTATGCCTACCCCGTTGGAGGCTATTTTTTTGCGCTAAAGTAAGGTGAAGCACGCATTTTGGGTTTAGGTATTGGTATGGGTAGGCCGTTGGAGATAGTCTTAGTGGTTAGTAGACACAACAATAGTCCCATCGTCATGCCACCAGTGAGATACGATGTTGCCTGCATGCGCGTGCACGTACAGTTGACAAGGCACAACTAGCCAGCTGATCATCATCTCTGTTTTTTTGGTTCTCCAATGCAACGTGATGCAGGAAGTCGAGGCCAAGGATGACCATCAAAATCTTCCTCAAGATAATGGGGCTCACCTTACTCGAGTACGTACAATCTAATCGTCTTAGACTACTTATCGCACATATAGTTCTCATGGCAGCGAGCACTGGTCGAGATCTGATGGCGTGCGTGTTCGTTTCGTGCCCGCTGCAGGCCCGTGCTGGATCAGAACCTCTACTTCATGGGGGCGAAGCTGACCTCGGCCGGCTTCGCGTCGGCGCTCATCAACATTCTCCCGGCCGTCACATTCGTCATGGCCCTCGTCCTACGGATGGAGAAGGTGCGGCTGCGGAGCGTGCACAGCCAGGCCAAGATCGTGGGCACGGTCCTCACCGTGGCCGGCGCGGTGCTCATGATCCTGTACCACGGCCCCGTGGTGCAGTTCCCGTGGTCCAAGGGGCAGCACCACCACGACAGCAGCGCCGGAGGAGGCAGCCAGGGCGGCGCCGGCTTCCTCACCGGGATCATCACCATCATCGTCGCCTGCGTCTGCTGGTCGGCCTTCTTCGTTCTCCAGGCCAACACGCTCAAGAGCTACCCCGCGGAGCTGTCGCTGACGACGCTCATCTGCCTCATGGGCTCGCTGATGAGCGGCTCCGTCGCGCTCGTCGCCGAGCGCCGCAACACCCAGGCCTGGGTCATCGGCTTCGACACCCGCCTCTTCACCGCCGCCTACGCCGTAAGCTAGCTATAGCTACCTACCTTATATATAGTCGCGTTTCTACGTACAGCTCAGTCTTGTAGTACTTGTACATCGATCAATCTTGACCCCATATACATACATGCATGATGAACTCGTACACAGGGCATAGTGTGCTCCGGCGTGGCGTACTACGTGCAGGGTATCGTGTCGAGGCAACGAGGCCCGGTGTTCGTCACGGCCTTCAATCCTCTCTGCATGATCATAACCGCCATCATGGGCTCCATCATACTCAAAGAAGAGATCACTCGCGGAAGGTACGAAATTAACGTGCAATCCACGTAGATGCATGATTCCCATGCTTATATATATAACATATATATCATCCAGATATTTTCATAAAGATAACATATATGTACTCCTGTATAGAAAATCCAGTAGTAGATAGTAGTGCTGATAATGCCACCGTCTCCTTGTGTTGTTTCAGCGTGATTGGCGCTGCGATCATCGTGCTAGGCCTGTACGCGCTCATCTGGGGCAAGAGCAAGGACGAGGTGAACCAGGTCGCCGACGTCTCAGCATCAGGCGGCTCCAAGGGCGGTGCAGCGGCTGGTGGCGAGCTGCCCATCACCTTGGCGCAGTCCAACGGCAACGGCAAGCACGAGCTCGGCAGCGGCCGCGGCGTCGTCTTCGACGTCGAGACGCCGGTGGCCAACGGTCATTACGAGCTAGCTAGCTAGCAGTACTCCTAAAACAAGCAACCTGCCCGTCAGTTCTAGCTAGACACTGCACGCAGCATAAATATGTGGTGCGATTTTTTATTTCTTCTTCCGTTTTGTTAATTTCGCCTGGAATTCTTGTGAGAGAGTGCAAGAGAGACACAGAACATCTCCAAATTGTAAACAAAGCCATGTCAAGAAAGGGAAGAGAGTAACAAAGCATCCAGGTGAAACTTCTGTGTCTCTCTTCTGAGCCTCATGAACCCCATGTTATATTTGAGAAGACCCAAGGCTCATTCCCTCTCGTCAGCCAACATCCTCCTTGTTACAGATGACAAACATAGATACACGGCAAGAGTCTGAGACCTAGGGCTCGGTGTTTGTTCATCGTCCCTCACTCACACCTACCTTCTTCCATCCTTAATCCACGGGTCAACAAAAATAGATTCTATCCCCCCTCCAACATGGCTTTGTTTACAATTTGGAGATACAAACCCTCGCTACAGCGCACCACTCATCATGCCGTGTCCTAGATGGTCGAGTCTGGGTGCGTCTAGGCTTATTACGCATGGGAGCGCGTGGCTCACCTTCCATCTTTGTTAACCTTACAGCACGCGTGCAAAGAAAACCTCTAGTCAATTTTCCATGCAACATTAATCCTTTATTACGCCAATCATTTATTATAGGCCTTGAAATTGATTTAATTAAAATGATGTTAAGACAAAAAAATTAAATCTAAAATAGAAAGTCCATTAACTTTGACTAGGGTAGGTTCAGATATCCCTATGTTCTTGACCAAATCAACTCTTAGAGTCGTCCGAAGTTGAACTTTTTAAAATTGACTGAATTTATATAGAAAAGAATGCCAAGATTTATGACACCAAATTAGTATCAATAGATACAACATAAACTTTATTTAATATTATAAATATACTTATTTAATATCATAAATATTTACATTTTTCTATAAATCTAGTTAAACATAAAAAGAGTTTGACTTAGAATAATTCTAGAAATTAATTTATTCAGGAACTGATATAGTATAACGAGTTATTTATCCCATTGTGACGGGAAATAATTTGATTATATGTTTTCATATTGCAAACAGCGAGCATTGACACGTCATTGCGGGCCCACTCATCATACACACATGAGCCATCGCGAGAGGACCAGCATCACGTGACCATGTCACGGGCACCCCTTGTACTCCAAACTGCTACCCGACTTCCTCAGCCGTCGTCTCATCTGCCGACGCCATACTCCTCTCCACCTGAGTACCTAACCGGCATCCTTCCCCTCCTGCCCGATCCCTCGAGGCGGAGATCCCTAGGACGGCGGCCGAGATGGCGATGGCGCTGGCCCTCGCGGTGGCGCTTGCCGTCGCGTCGCTCCACGCGGAGGCGGTGTGGCTGGACGTGCCACAGTCGGGGACCAAGTGCGTGTCTGAGGAGATCCAGTCCAACGTGGTGGTGCTCGCCGACTATTCCATCATGTTCGAGTCCCACCCCTACTCGCATCCCACCATCGCCGTCAAGGTATTGCTTCAGTGCTGCGTGCCTTGATATGCATTCCGATTAGCGATTAGTCCTGGGCGATAGAGTTTAATCCTATGGTACTTTTGGGTATTATAAATGGAGCTGAGCAGTGTAAAGGGTTTGATTTTTTTTTGGGTGCTGTGGCTAGCGGATACCACAAATTTATTGGGTTAATTGAAGTTACTGAACTGCCTTGGGGTGATTTTGTGCTTGATAAAGGCAGAAATTAGTGCCTCTCTCGAGTGTATTCATGGTATTGTAAGAGTATATTCTTAATGTCTTCTGACCTGTTATTCAGGGTAAATAGGAGTACTAAATAACGAGGAAATGCTGTTCTATATGCTCTAGCATTCTATTGAGAACTGTTATTATCGAGCAATATGGTGACACCAGAGCATTAGGAGATTGTACAAAATCTAAATCTGAATGTTGGCCTGGTACTTCGACTAGATTTTTATGAATCAGTTCATGACACAGGTGATTCTCAAACCATGCTGGTTCCTTCTGTCTAAGTAATGGTGGTTCCACCTAGGATGTCACCCATGAGTTGGGATAGAATCACAGAATACTAGGCTACGCATCTTATGGGATTTGCCAATTTATCTTCCAGTGAACTACTTAAAAGTCCCACGAGGTTAAGGAGTAAATGGTAGAATCATAATCAAATCGTCCCTGCGCGATGGAATAAGATGTAGTATCAAAATAGGGGGCGAATTGAAATAAGTTAGGGCACTGAAGTGAGCTAGTGAGAGCTCACAGCTCAACTTTTTAAAAATCTTTCAATATTCTAAACACCATTTAGGTCTACTGTTTTAATGTTGCCTTGGTAAAAGGCTAAGGTAACAGGAACAAATGAATGATAAGAAACTTTTACTGTAGATCTTGTAAATTGGAAAAGTTGATAGACTTATTTTTGCTATGTAATCCTCCATCATACATAGTTAAGAATCAACTTCATTTCTTACCTCAGATTTAATGTGGATCACCAATGCAACATCTAGGTTCTGAATACATGTTTTGTTACGTCGAGCAGCGCCTACATTCATTTGGACATATGAATGACATGGTTTCAATTACAAATATATTTCAGAGTTGAACCTTTGCAGTAGAGGAGCAAATGCCAGATTGTTCTGATCGAGTTTGCAGATTTGATTATTATGTTGGTTGAAAACATACAGTATGAGTTGCTAATATAGTGAAAACTGTTTCCTGTGATTATTTGATAAAATCCAATGCTCTGTGCAGGTTACTTCACCATATGGGAACACCTTGCATCACAGTGCGAATGCTACAGTTGGTCAATTTGCATTCACAACCGCAGAAGCTGGAAACTACCTTGCATGCTTCTGGATAGATAGTGCAGAGAAAGGATCAGGAGTATCTGTGAATCTTGACTGGAAGATTGGGATTGCAACAAAAGATTGGGATGCTATTGCTAAGAAGGAAAAAATTGAGGTTGGAATGCGAATTGTTGTACCGAGCTACAGTTCCAAGTGTCATGAGCTCAAATTCAATGCAATATTTGGTGTTTGTTAATTGAATACTACCTCTCTCTTTTTCTGCAGGGTGTAGAACTAGAGCTTCGGAAACTTGAAGTGGCAGTACAGGCCATTCATCAGAACTTGATATACCTCAAAGAAAGGCTAGTCATCTATTCCACCAGTCTATGGAGCATCTTTTGTAGTTAAATGTGTTTTGCCAATTGAGTCTTTTCTATTCCAAAACAAAAGTTAGCTTGTATGTATTGTAGGTGGTTGTGTCCAGGGAAGATCAGTTGTGTTGTTTTTCAGACTTCCAATCTGCTGTGCAGCAGAGGGGTTGGTTCACTTTTGTTTGGAAGATCTTTTACTAGTGAATTGACTAGCTTCAGTGTTCTTTGACTATGTGTGATGACGTATGAGATGGGAAGCGCAGAGATTTATTGCCCTACATGATTTTTTGTAGCGGCATTGCTAATAATTGCTTTGATCTGCCCATGCAGGGAAGCAGAGATGCGAACTGTGAGTGAGGCAACAAATGCAAGGGTTGTCTGGTTCAGTACTCTGGCACTATGGGTCTGCATTGCGGTATCGGTTTTGCAAGTGTGGCATCTTCAAGGGTTCTTCAGAAAGAAGAAGCTCATTTAGATTCTCTGTTTGATGTTGCACTGTGGTTCAAATGTTGTTCACCTTGGAAAGGACAATTTTGCCCTACTTAGAACATTTCACACTAGTGGTGACCGATGGGCAACTCGTACTGTATGTAGTTTAACTACAAAATTCTGCTTATATTTAGGCGTCAGCACTTACATATAAGTATGACCAGGGGATATGCCATCAAGGCATGTTGTGGAATCAGACTGTGAACTCACCTTGGCAGCAAAATTATAGATACATAGGTCCTTGTTGCCTTCCAATCGGTCTTATCGATGCTACCCCCTCGATTGTTACGGTCTAAATATCTTAGTAAAGGAACTAGTCTTGTACTGGTTACATCATAGTATTATCCGTATTATAGTTACTGAACCGTGCTGCCTATGAGGTGTACAATTACAAAGCACAGGTGTGAAACTAACAAGCGAGCTGATTTTTTAGCGCCTCTTGGGAATTTGTACAGCGTCGTGAATCTTGTGATGCGGCGAGCACTGGTCTAATTGTCTAAAGAACTCACGAGTACGTAGTTGCATTGTAAGCATCTCGCTCAATCCCTCGTTCTTGCCCATCAGTCAACACAACCTGATGCACGCTCGCACTGTCCTTAGTTTGTGAGGCCTTAAAGTAGCACAAAACAATATTTTTTGGAGAAGGACAAAAAATATATATTACCTCATAAACAGAGGGGGGATATTGGGCCTGCCCGGCTGCCCTTTCTATTAGCCTTTCGACATTGGTTTGGCTTCAACCACCCAAATCAAATGTACCAACAATGTGTTTTCCTCACGTAAAACCAAAGACCACCAAAAAGTAAATCAACACCAAAGACCAACCAAATGAACATGCCCTATATACAAAATCAGTAAATGCAGGAGTGTTTACTGCAGCTGCAGTGGCAGCATCACTTCTGACTTTCTGAGGAGGCTGATTACTACTAGATGGAAAAAAAAAACCGTGGGACAGAAAGTCAGAACAACCGGAGCTAAAAAAACCTTTTTCTACGTTCAAAACTAAACCAACAACCATGGACAGCCGGCCTATGTTGTATCGTTGTGAACATTCCCATCCAACGCTCCTAACACCCAAACCCATCCCCATTCCCGTCGCCGTTGCGGCAACGGCAGCGAGCCCCGGCGCCAGCTTTCCAGTTGCTCCCCAACGCAACGCAGCCGCCTACAGCGTACAGGCTCCAGCTATGTGATTATGTCTCCACTGACGAGCTTAAGAGAGACTAGTGAGTAGTGACAGATGCACTCACCATGGGCAAGGCCGGTCGCGTTGAGCAGGCCGTCCCCAACTCTGCGCCGGCAACCAGGTCCAGCCGCTGCCGGTGTGGCGCAGTTGTTGAAAAGGTGGTCAACGGGAAGTGCGTCTCTGTGCTGTTCCTGGCAGTCAGCGGATTCCTCTCGGCCTTCTTCCTGCTGCTTCATCTCCGGGCATCAGGAGACATCCCTGATGATCCTGGCATACTCGCCGGTAAGACCAGAGGCCTCCTCTCATGTTGAAGAATTAATTCGAAAGTTCTAGCAGATAGCCATATCAGCCATCAGAGATTCAGCCAGGATAAGGGTTTATTTGGATACCAGATGCTAATTATTAGATGCTAAAGATTAGTCCTAGATGATCCGAAGGCTAAAATTAGCAAAGCCCCTGGATAATTGTTAGCCCATTAGCCACATACAACCAGCTAACAAGAGCTAATTGTCCATTCCTATGGATATATTCATCTATTAGCTAGGGATCCAGACACACATCGGCAAATTTTAGCTGCACCTAACAATTAGCCATAGTTGATCCAAACAGATAACATAAGCATTTTTTGTTTTTCCAATTCTTTCTAGCATTCTTTAACATTCAAACATTCATTTCTCCTGCAGAAATCGAGGCAGGCTTCATTTTGTCAGTACCACACTCACAGGTAGCTTCACAAGCTGGAATGCTTGAAAAAGAGATATATACCCAAATAGGTGTCCCCAACAGTACGGTATGGCCTTAACTCCACTTCAGTAAAAATAAAAAATATTCTCAAGCACTCAAACCAAACAGGCACCTGAATATTGGCTAACAATCGTGCAGGTTTCAGTTTCTATGCGGCCATACATATATACAGATACCACTTATGTGAAGTTTGGTGTTCTTCCAGACCCAAGAAATACCTCCATGAGCACAAAATCCATCAATGCACTGAGAGCATCTTTGATAAAACTTACACTACACCAGCTGAATTTATCTTTGACACCATCTGTTTTTGGAGACACATTTTGCTTGGAGATTCTAGGGTTCCCAGGAGGGATTACGGTATTGCTTCCACGTAATGCTTCACATGCTGACTCAAGACAACCTCTCTTCAACATCACGCTCAACTCAACCATTCATGAAATAAGGGGATTTCTTGAGGAGATGAAGACTGAGCTTGGATCCACATTGGAGCAAAGACGAGATGAGGTTACCGACTCTATCTTCTCATTCACTAAAATCACTTGTACATTGATTTTTGTTCTCTTTAAAATAATCAGCATGAAGTCACAGCTTATGTATGCACATGCAGGAATTATATGTCGAGTTAACAAATATGAATGGCTCAACAGTTGCAACACCAGTTACAGTTCAAGTTTCCATTTCCTCCATTGACCACAGCATTTATCTAGGAACTTACAGGCTGAAACAGCTAGCCAAAATCATCACAGAATGGAGTGCAAGGAACCTTGGCCTAAATACCTCAATTTTTGGCAAAATTATGGATTTGACGTTGTCTCCACTCCTACAAACCTTCGTTCCACCCTGTGCTCCTAGCTTGTCTCCAACATCAATGCCATCCCTGTTCTGGCCTCCAATATCAGAGCACCCAAAAACCTATCCTTACAGGGAAATTTCATGTCCTCCTTTGGTTAAAATTCAAAATGAAACCACTTAACATCGCAGATTAATGCATGTATCATCCAAGATAATTTCTCCACAATTGTCAACACAGTTTCATAGGAAGTACACATCTGAGGGCAAGAAAAACAGTATTGCAGTGGCAGCAACAACATTCACTGCACCAGCACCCAAACCAAAATGAAGTAAGTTGTTTAGGTTTTTTTCTAGGCACTCCTCAAAGTTATGCAATCATTGTTATAAGGTTGATTTAATGCAAATGCATACCTTAGCATTGTAGCAATAGCAAGTATGAAGCTTGAGTTTACCTCAAAATTGGAATAGACTGCATCAAATGGATACAGGGCTTTGGATACATGTGTATTGATTACATGCCTTAATTATTTCTGCAGTGATTGATCTCTAGGTGCCTCAAAAGTTCAATAAGTTTCCAAAACCCTGCAAGGCGTGTTCATCTAGTGTGACCCTTTGATGTAGTTGTCTAGTTACACCAAGGTGGGTATGAAGTAGCTGTGTGTGCCTAGGCTAAAGCTGTAAGAAATCTCAGTCAAGTGTAAGTAGAAAATGGGAAGTTAGTAGCCAGAAAGCTGGATAACTCCCGAACTCCATGTATAATAGTATGGCAACAGCTAAAGAAATGGCTGGCCATCTGTCAATTATGATAATTTTCCCAACTCATGCTGTCATGCATCTCCATGAAGAATCGTTCTAACAAAATTTCAAAGAGCCACGTGCATGTTGGTATACTGGTATAACTTGTTCCTGCATTGAATTTTCTATTTTTACTTCTGTTTTCATGTCCTACTTTTGGTTGCCTAGATTTCACTTCTTTACAAGAAAAAGAAAAGAAAAGCAGCACTTGTGATTCCGCATGGTATTTCTGTTCGGTTATCCGTGTTTTGTTGTGACATGATTGACCATCATGTGTGACATATAAATTCTTAAAAACCAACATAAGTATTTGGATGCCAATGCATATAATTATATTTCGTCAAAACAATGAACAAACCTATAAAAATTCCTTACGGAACATAAGTCAAGCAAATTGAAATTCATTATCTCAATCAAGAAAGTATTACAACTGACAATCTTACAGCAGGAGCTATTAATTAATAGAATAAAAATTGTTGTTTTCCCCCCAAAAGAGGTCTCCTTACTGATCAAACGCGGAATAAATGTTCTTTTGTACGAGCTCAACACTTAGACGTGGCGATAATCTGGGAAGTATTTCCTGCAATGTGAGTATGAACGAAAAAAAAAAACTCAGGGAGGAGCTCCACGAATCAAAGTACTATTTCGAAGAATGATTGAAAAGCTTCGTAGTTGGCACATATAGTGAGTAAAAGTCTGGATTCAAAGAGCTAGAGATGAGCAAATCGAATCAGAAAGTAATGCGATGATGATACCACGGTCCCGTCGGGGAGCACCTTGGCCAACACGGCAACACTGGGATCTCGTACTGGTAGAGCCGCTCCCACCCCGGATTCGTCGTGATGTCCCTCTCCTAACCCACATCCAAAATCTAAGTCAAGCATCCATCCATCTCGGAACGAGCTAGTTACTGGAATGCAAACCAGTAGGGCGAGCAAATTGGCTTGCCTGGAGCTCGAGGGACGCGAGGGAGTAGGGCGTGCCAGCGAGCAGCGACGCGGCGTGGAGCTTCTCCTTGAGTCCATCGC